TACCAGTCATACCATTTTGAAGCTGACCCATACAAGCATTTTTGTTTATTGTTTGACGGTGTGTTTTGAGCATCAAAAGCTTGCGTTTCCCTGGATTCAACATAATAAATAAAACCTGTAAATCCTTTATAAGGGTTTCCCTTGATTCATCAGACTTGTGAGCTCAGCAGATGATGTATATAGTGAAATTATATGGCAATTATACAACAATGTCCCTCCCTCCCTCCATTGTAAAACTTTCCTTCCTCTAACATTCTGGGATTTTAGTGACTATTATGTTAATACCATTTATAAAGTACTCTTTATCACACATTAATGTTACAAATCCAGGTACTTAACAATGAGCAATAAACGGTCATCAGAAATACAATCCATAGGTCCAAGCAACCAGGGTGCATGATTTAAGCAATACCATTTTATTTTGTTTCTTTAGAGAATGGTACAAGGTGTCAACATTTTTGAGAGATATAGCACGATTTTAATAATTTTAGTGACTCTCCAGTGTGAAGCACATAGTCACGAGGGTTCCTGTCTCTCTCGTTTTTACCTGCAGTTGAAAAAATAAGGAAATGCTTCTCGTAAAGAAGTAATGGTTTCAATGCTTCTCCATGAGAATTATTGTTGAAGTACCAATGCTTTTCAATCAACATTTGATTGGACATAAATTATAAGGAATGATGATGAAAGGATGATGAGGAGACATTTCCAGATTATGGAAAACATAGTTTAAAATGTTTAAACCTCTTTAGTGCTGAAATGGTGGAGGATCAGTAATTGAACGAGTTGCAGAAATATTGCAATTAAAAACTAGATATTTCAATTAGAGAGTTCCTTTAACCCCTTAAGGACGAAACTTCTGGAATAAAAGGGAATCGTGACATGTCACACGTGTCATGTGTCCTTAAGGGGTTAAATATCACCCAAGAGCTTGTCAATGTTTTTTTCTTGGTTAATACTGCTTTATCTGTTTCTTAGAAAAATGCTAGAATTATTCAGATAAAAACCAGATATAATTTCCCTTTTTTTTCCAAAATGTTGCAACTGCCTTGTAATTTCTAGACATTCCAGTTAAGGAATAAACCCAAATGTCAACAATTTTTCGTAATTCATATTATTTGCTTCCGGCATCTATCAGTCAGTTACACTGAATACTTAATGAAAAATTTGTAATAATGCATGTTTTCAGAAAGCTCTCTAAAGCCGTATTCAAGTTATCACACACGTGCAATTTAGATAAACTACAGTATCAATAAAACTGATTTTGTAGGGCAAGAGAAATAAATCACACACTATAGCCGCTTAATAAAATAAAACAAAATGGTCACATGCATCCTACCAAAATCTGTCAGGGGAGAATTCAAACTGAATTTTAAACTTAAGGTCAAATTCACCAATCAGAAAGAATTTTCTATGTTATATATTCTTTTAGTTTGGCTACTCTGGCCTTAAAGTTGAAATTCAAAATGAGTAACCCTGCATAACTTATTTTATGGATGACCCTGGAATTAAGTACCCAATCAAGTATTAAAGGACAATTGTCACCAAATTTCACTTCTAATTTTTTTTAATGTTCATTACATTAAAGCAACACTGTAGGCACTTGAGCAACTTTATCTTATTGACCCCCAAAACCCAGTATTAACCTCCCTGGCGGTAATCCGGAGCATGGCTCAGGCTTCATTTTCGTGTACCAAAAGCGGTAACTCTGATCCACGCTCGGGATTACACTGTAGTACCTTGTCCCTACGAGCCCCTGGTGTAAAAAAATACACTGGTGTAAAACCAATGTACCACTTTAACATTAAAAAGTACTGACATAATCAGAACGCCAGGGAGATTAAACCAAATAGTAGGATTGGCAGCGCTGATTCAAGCCAGACCTCCACGCCCTCTCCGTATGAAACCCCGGAATCTTAATCACCGGCTCTCATACCATAACATACCACGACTTCTCACACGCATAGACAATTTATTACAGTCGACTATAGAGAATCATTGCATACAATGATTCCCTATGGAGTTATTGTAGGCACATCATGGCAAGTACCATGCATGTGCCTACGTTCTAAGTGATCCTCTATGAGGAGCATTGAATTGGCTAGTCATCCTGGAGGAATGTTAATTTGAGCAGCAGCTGGTCAGATAACAGTAGAGTCTGACCCAACATGGCTGCTCAGCCAGATAAAAACATTTAAAAAAAAAATATCAATATACCTGCGCATTTAAAATAAAAATCATTAAGTTTAATCAAATATCATAAACTCAAAAAAAAAAAAAAAGTGAAAATGTGATGACAATTATCCTTTAAATCAACCATCCATTGCTCCCTTCTCTTTACTCATTGGAACAGAGAGTATATTAACAAAGGACATGCGTTGTATCTTTTCTCCATTCTATATTAAGTCATTTATTTGTAGTGGTAGAGTCTTGGCAAGTCGCCTGGAATACTCTGAAAATAAAAGTGGTTTAAATAAGAACTATGGCTCCTCTGGAACATACATCACCACTAATTTGTGTTAACTTTGTTCAGGAAATGTTCCATTTTCTTTAACATTTATATTAAAGATGTTTAAAATGACATTATAACCCAGTTCAGAAAACGCAAACAATGCAAACATTGCCGATAGAAACATTGTTTAATTTCTCCTCTTCTGTATATGCTTTCTGTATACAAGACACAATTATGATTGACAGAGAGCTAACACATAAAGAAGTGTGTATTTCTAGATTTTTCACACCTCTCAAATACATATTTATTGAATGCAGGGATAAATAAACAGAATATAAAAAAAAAAATTAGGGAAGTTGCGGTTCCTCTTTAAATGACTTCTAATATAGCAGCATGACAATCGTTCGTTGCAGCTCCACTCTGCCCTTTGGGATATCATCAGTACTGGTAATATTCAGTCAATCTAATGACATCATAGGGATGCAAGGAGCGCTGCTTCACTGTCCTGCAATACTTCTCTTAGAGAAGCATTGAATCCAGTGCTTAATTACAAGAAGCCTAGGCTTCCGCTCATGAATGACACCCTCCTTGCTCTCTGATGGCAATTTATAAAATTGTGAAATATGTAGTTTTATATAATGAATAGAAGACACTTTGTTAACTCCTTACAAGTTATGGTGTGTTAGGGGAGTGAAGCATGCTTTTACATTTCACAGCTAGTTTATCTCTCTATTATCTATCAGCTATCTATTTTCTATCTCTCTATTATCTATCTATCTATCTATCTTTCTATCTATCTTCTGTTTATCTATCAATCTTTCTATGAATCTGTCATCTATGTTTACCCCCTGTTCTGTTCCCTTGGACTTTTGGCCAACCACTCCTTATCTATCATCTATGTTTGTCTCTTTAAACTACATCTAATCCATCTCTAATATCTCTAATCTATCTATCTATCTATCTATCTATCTATCTATCATCTCTCTATCTATCAGTCTGTCTGTCTAATCTATTATCTATCTTTCTATCGATCTTTCTATCTATCTATCTATCTATATATCATCTATATGTCTGTCTCTCTAAGCTATCTATCTATCTATCTATCTATCTATCTATCTATCTATCTATCTAACTATCTTTCTTTCTATCTATCTATCTATCTATCTATCTATCTATTTATCTATCATCTGTCTCTCTAAGCTATCTATCTGTCTATCTAGATATCTTTCTGTCTAATCTATACATCTGTCTATCTATCTATCTATCTATCTATCTCTCTAAGATATCTCTCTAATCGATCTATCTATCTATCTATCTATCTATCTATCTATCACCTGCCTCTCTAATCTATTTATCTATCTATCTGTCTCTCTAAGCTATCTATCGATCTATCTATCCGTCTTTCTATCTATATATCTATCTTTCTGTCTAATCTATACATCTGTCTGTCTATCTGTCTATCTATCTATCTATCTATCTATCTAAGCTATCTCTCTAATCTATCTATCTGTCTATCTATCTTTCTATCTATCTTTCTATGAATCTATCATCTATATGTTTGTCTCTCTAATCTAAATCTAATCTATCTACCATCTATCTGTCTGTCTCTCTAAGCCATCTATCTATCTATCTATCTATCTATCTATCTATCTATCTATCTATCTGTCTATCTATCTATCTATCTATCTGTCTATCATCTGTCTCTCTAAGCTATCTATCTATCTCAATATATATCTGTATCTATCTATCTATCTATCTTTCTATGAATCTATCATCTATATGTTTTATCTCTCTCTAATCTACATCTAATCGATCTATCTACCATCTATCTGTCTGTCTCTCTAAGCCATCTATCTGTCTCTCTAAGCTATCGATCTATCTGTCTTTCTATCTATCTATCTTTCTGTCTAATCTATACATCTGTCTGTCTATCTATCTATCTCTCTAAGATATCTCTCTAATCTATACATCTGTCTGTCTATCTATCTATCTATCTCTCTAAGATATCTCTCTAATCAATCGTTCTATCCATCATCTGTCTCTCTAAACTATCTATCTATCTCAATATCTATCTGTATCTAGCTATCTATCTCAATATCTATCTATCTTTCTATGAATCTATCATCCATATGTTTGTCTCTCTAATCTACATCTAATCTATCTGACTGTCTCTCTAAGCCATCTATCTGTCTCTCTAAGCTATATTTCTAATATATCTATGTCTGTCTATCTATCTGTCTGTCTGTCTTTCGCCCTGTCTGTCTGTCTCTGATTCATCCATCCTTCAATCTCTCATCTCAGAACTCTAGCCAATCATGACTCGCTAACCCTAAGTATGTCATCTAGTGACGTGCTCTCTAGTCCACATGCAGCATATAAAGCGGGACAGGCGGGGATCCCAAATCAGTTTGAAGCGAACTAGATCGGTGACATAACCACACTGAGGAGCCGGTGCGTTGCAGTTTAGTGACGTAAAGACAAACTTTACCGATTGGGACTTGCTCTGGAAGCACAGCTCAACTCAAAGCTGTTCACTGCTCTGACTGCTGGAATGATTGCAAGGAGTTTCATTTTCTTAGCTGGGCTGTTTATCTCTCAGGCCGGTAAGACTTCCACTTCCATGATCGAACTTTCACTTATCGTTATATTCTAATGCTGCATGTGAGAGCGTTCTGTTAGCTGTGCTCTAATTATGTTCATATAATGTGTGTGTGTGTGTGTGTGTGTGTGTGTGTGTGTGTAGCACGCACTTTGTATTTTGTACAGTTTATATCTATGCATTCTTCATGTGTATTATTATACACTGTATTTTCTGTGTGTTTGGGGGAAAAAATGTCTCTTTTTATGGATATTTATTATATAAACCGGTATCAAGCAGTTGTTACATTCTTCAAAGAAAATCTGAAATGCCAGTTTAATTTAAAATGTGTAGTATGGCAGCTGAGCATTATTCCCCTGTCTCCCTGAAATACCTTGGATGTGTCTATAATATAGATATAAAGCTTGAGAGAAAGAAAGAATGATTAAAAAAGAGAGAGAGCACAAGGTATACTCTATTTAATAAGTATTCAACCCCCTATTGACAAGGGCAAATACAATTCCTAGTTAATGTGACAATCCTGAAATGTTGATTAATAAAAATGACTGCTATGCTCTTAGTTTATGCACTTCTGAAAATAAATGCATAAATAAATATGTAGCTTGATTTTTATGTTCTTTGTAGACTGTATTCATTCATATGTACTTATTGATTGATTTGTTTTGCAGTTTTCTCTGTGGCAGACCCATGCTGCTCTAATCCCTGCCAGAATAGAGGCGTGTGCCTGACATTTGGTCACGACCGATATGAATGTGACTGTACGAGGACAGGATATTATGGGGAAAACTGCACCATACGTAAGTTGTGTGATAAGCTTTTTTTTTTTTTTTTTTATGTTTTTTTTTTTTAATGTTTTTTTTTCCCAGAAAGCACTTGTGAAAGTCTAAGCCTGATTTATTAACCTGATTAAATTAGCGTTTTACAAATTTTTTTATTTTTTTTTGTGCAGCTGAATATTTAACGTGGCTAAGAGTCAACTTAAAACCGTCCCCCAACACTGTGCACTATATTTTAACCCATTTTAAAGGAGTGTGGAACATAATTAATAACATTCCCTTCTTGCGTGATGCCATTATGCGATACGTCTTGACATGTGAGTAAAACTTTGTTTTTTGTTTTTTTTACTTAAATTTCTCTAGACAATTCTTAATTCTTCACAACTTGCTGTTTTCTAAATTAAACTGCTGCCCTTTAAAAAAAGACTTTAACTGCTAGTTGGACAGCATTTTTATCGAATTGGCTTCAGAACTGATTTAATTAATAACGTAATGATACATAGATTAAATTATTTCAGTAGTTCATTATTTTGTAACAAAGGGAAGCTATTTGAAGATTTATGTAATTTTTACAGTTAATAGCTTTTAACTTGTTCCTCTACCTAGTTCATTTCTATTAAAAATGTATCTGTTATTGAGGGTAAAATTAATCATATATATGAAATTACTTGCTATTATGAACTAGTGGAATTAGTAATATTAAAGCTAAATTGAAAGATTTTGCTAAATATGCTAAATATGCTAAAACCGTAAGCTCGTTTGAGCAGGGTCCTCTTCCACCAATGGTTCCTGTAAGTTTTCTTGTAATTGTCCTATTTATAGTTAAATCCCACCCCACACCCCTTATAATATTGTAAAGCGCTACGAAATCTGTTTGCACTATATTAATGGCAATAATAATAATAACCATGGTGTCTAGTTCTGTATATTTTCCAGTTGTTGTAATGGTATTTGAAAAATTTCAGATCACATAAATGTAACTTAATCATTGAATATCAATATGTGTTTATATGGAATACATTATTTTTTTTTAAATTAGTGCACTTATATGATTTATTACTTTGATACCTTTATGCTTTCTATGTACTAAGTTGCATTTGTTTTCAATTTATTTTGCAGCAAGGTCACATCTGATCGATAGCCCTCCTACATTTAACAGCCATTATGGCTACAAAAACTGGGAGACTTACTCCAACATTTCTTATTACACCCGATCGTTGCCTCCAGTCGGCAAAGACTGTCCAACCCCAATGGGAGTGAAAGGTAATGGAACTGTTTCTTGCCATGTGCTGGATTCTTTATGTGCAGGATATTAAGGACATATTTGGGCATCACGTAAATTTCATCATTTTATGTCTTGTTTAATACCTTTCATTGGATTAGTCATAATACAGTACTGTAACACATATGTTGCAATTGCATATTGTGGCACATATTCTTAATGTCTGGAGAAGATAAGAATGTGAGAATTTCTTAGAATAATGTTAGAAATTAACTCGTTTTGGACTTAGGGGGAACTGATAACAGTTTCAGGATGAGTGGATTTTTTATTTCATTTTCCGCACCTCATTAATACATGTTTGTTAAACAGGGCTTAAGGAGACAATATTAAAAATAGTGGGCAGTGAACGTGTCTAGTTAATTAACATTAAACCAAAACTTGAACTGCAAACTCGCAATATTGCTCTGTTATATAGAGAACTTGTTATTGCTCTATCTGCTTATTACTACGAGTAATTTAACTGTTTATATTGATCTGTAAACATATGCCAACATTCTGCAAGGTTTTCTGTTTTCTGACAAGAGGACATAGTCTTAAATTAGAGGGGCAAAGGTTTAAAAATAATATCAGGAAGTATAACTTTACTGATAGAGTAGTGGATGCATGGAATAGCTAACCAGCTGAAGTTGTAGAGGTTAACACAGTGAGGGAGTTTAAGCATGCGTGGGATAGGCATAAGGCTATCCTAATTATAAGATAAGACTAGGGACTAATGAAAGTATTTAGAAAATTGGGCAGACTAGATGGGCCGAATGGTTCTTATCTGCTGTCACATTCTATGTTTCTGTTGCAATATGAAATATCTTATATTTATATTTCAGGAAAAAAGGAGCTTCCCAACTCCAGCGAGGTTGTTGAAAAATTCTTGCTTAGAAGAAAGTTTATCCCCGATCCACAGGGGACAAATATCATGTTTGCTTTTTTTGCTCAGCACTTCACTCACCAATTCTTCAAGACGGATACCAAACGTGGAGCGGCCTTCACTAAAGCATTAGGGCATGGGGTAAGGTTCCGTAATACAAACGTTTTAAAAAAACAAACAAAAAACCTAGACTGTACAGTTTTCAGTTCTTTTTAGATATTCTACCATATCAGATGTATTTTCCAAGGTAAAACTGCCCCAGTGAAAAGTCATTGGGGATACAGGATTAGTGTAGCATGTTCTACTGAAATATTAGCAGTTTATAATAGGACTGAGATAAGCGTAATTATATTTCAAACTATCAGATGTCATGTTAACTTAATATCCAAGTTATAATATTTAGAACGTAATCATATAAGTATAGTTACTCATCAGTGGTGTGAATATAATAATATATGTATAATTTTTGTTCAACAGGTTGATCTGAACCATATCTATGGAGAAACCTTGGACAGGCAACATAAGTTACGTTTAAAGAAAGATGGCAAGCTAAAGTTTCAGGTAAATACCTTATTTTAAAGGTTATTGGTAGTTGGGTTACCATGTAGATATCTGCTAAAGTAAATGTTGATTAAGCTTTTAAAATATACTATGTGTGTTACAGGTCATTCATGGTGAAATGTATCCTCCAACTGTGAAAGAGGCAGAAGTGGAAATGATATATCCCCCCCATGTGCCCGAACATGTTCGATTTGCAGTAGGGCAAGAAGTTTTCGGTCTGGTCCCCGGGTTAATGATGTATTCAATAATCTGGTTAAGGGAGCATAACAGAGTTTGTGATATCTTGGTGAAGGAACATCCAGAGTGGGATGATGAGCGTATATTCCAAACTACAAGGCTTATTTTGATTGGTAAGTACCAAATTTCTTTAGTAGCAATGTTTGTGATCTGGACTAGACATTTGCAATGCCCAACCACTAGTTTTGTAGAGAAGGGTCTCTCTCCATTAAATTTCAAGTATCTTAGTTGTATGAAGTTTAATTATTTTATTATTGGCACTAATATTGAATCATACAATGCCACATGTTATAGCACAACTATAGAAAAACATTCTTATACTATTATAGCAACCAGCCTCTTGACCTGCTGACCATTTTATTAAACTCCATTTCCCAGCCTTTAACACAGTTTTCTCATTAAGGGTAATCTAAAAAAAATATGGGCAAAATATTGTTGGATTTCTCTACACTGTACTAACTTCATCTCTGGTTTGATTTTTTTTTTTCTTAAGGTGAGACCATAAAGATTGTCATTGAAGACTATGTGCAACACTTGAGTGGTTATCACTTCAAGCTCAAGTTTGACCCCCAGTTATTGTTTAACCAGAAATTCCAGTACCAGAACAGAATCGCTGCTGAATTTAATACCCTGTACCACTGGCACCCACTCCTGCCCGACACATTCCAAATCAGTGAAAAGGAATATAGCTACCAACAGTTTCTCTACAACAATTCTGTCATTTTGGAACATGGCATAGCAGAGATGGTTGAGTCTTTCACCAGGCAAACTGCTGGCAGGGTAAGCATCAATTTTTGATCTATACATGTGTTACAATCACTACACTTCAAACAACACAGCTGAGCATCCACACAACTCTCATAATAGTGTCATCTTTACCATACATAGACCAGTCCAGCAAATCCTTTAACTGTTGGAAGATCAAGTCACACCAGGCTCATCTTTCAGCTTCCTGCTACATAACCATGCATCAGAAAGCAAACAAAATAAAAAAATTTTTTGCAAAATTCTTAAAGTGATACAAACTATCACATACGTGTTAACGGGTGAGGGATGCGTGTAATGTTTGTTTTGCTTCCCAAAATATCCTGGAAATAAATTGATCAGACATAGTAGAATGCCACCCACTATTTGAGTTTTTACAAAGTTTGGGAAATGCCAAGGATTCTGTGAGTTCCAGTAAACACTGCTAAAATCACACTCCCTGCCCCCAAGGCAGCAGATGACCCCTATTCTAACTTTTTTGTTCTTCCTTTTTAAGGTTGCTGGAGGCAGAAATGTCCCTGCTGCAGTGTTTAGAGTAGCTGTGGCTTCAGTTGAACACAGCAGAGAGATGAGATACCAGTCGATGAATGAATACAGGAAACGTTTTAATCTAAAACCTTTTAAGTCCTTTGAAGAACTGACAGGTAAGAGCACGTTATTTAAAGATCTTCTAAGTTTATTGAGACAGAGACAATGAAGAACTCACACAGTAAAGTTAATGTTATGTTTACTTTTGAGCACAAGTCACTTGGAGTACAAGTTCTTATCGAACATTATTGTTAAGTAGTGACAGCATGTAGCGCTGACTATGAAAACATGTTGAAACTACACACGCACACAAAGATTACACAGTACAATGTCTGCCTAAATTAACCTTGTGTTTGCCTCATTGAACTGGCTATCACACTTGAGTCATTGCCCACACAGTTTTGTTTTTTTTAATCTTTATTTAAAAAAAAAAAAAAATCTCTTCTAGAGTAATATTCATGTATTAAGTACACAGAAACCATGGCTGAATAAATACAGATACGTGGATTTTTGTACATGTTAAAAGAGGAAACTCTACTTCTATGCATTAGTCTAGTTTTCTTTACTGTCTAGCTATGCAAAATTGGCCATATCTTAAATTTGCAAAAAAATACTTTACTTGTAAACTGGAATGTAATTTTGCAGTTAATTTGCAACAAATCAATACAAATGTGAGGTTGAAAGTCCTTTAGTTGGTAAGCATTATTTACCAACTAATATAAAATATATCTCAAAGTATTATTAAAAGTAAGGACTTGAGAAAACTGAGTTGTATAAAATAAATGTATAATTGTCGTAGGCATGGTGCAATGTAAAATGTGGGTTAGTTAGAAAGTTAAGGTTTTATTTAAATCAGATTCTGTGCAGTAGTCCACATTCCATATACTGTAAAAAATCTCTCACAAGTCTTAACTATGTTCTAAGTGAAAACACCTGAATAACCAGCTTTAAGTATGTCAAAGTGCTTCAGGGAATTAAGATAGGGAAAAAAACAGCATATCTCCACCTATTTTGACAGGAGACAACGTGGCCTTATATTACGCGTGGCAAACCATGAGACTGAAATTGAACTGTATGTAAGAAACATATTTGGTTTAGTGAATTACTAATGATATTTATTTTAAAAAATTGGAGGTTTTTATTTCGACCCACAGTATATAGTGCATATACCACCAGACCACATGGTCAAAATGTTGGTTTATACCTTTCTGACTTTTTCTGTTATTTCAGGCGAGAAAGAAATGTCAGCTGAACTTGAAAGTCTGTATGGTGATATTGACGCTATGGAACTCTATCCTGGACTTCTTGTGGAGAAACCAAGACAAGGAGCCATTTTTGGTGAAACTATGGTAGAACTTGGTGCGCCATTTTCTCTTAAAGGTCTGATGGGGAACCCAATTTGCTCTCCCGAATACTGGAAGCCAAGCACATTCGGGGGGAATGTGGGTTTTGATATTGTAAACACTGCTTCTTTGCAAAAACTGATCTGTCAAAATGTCAAGAACTGCCCGTACACTTCATTTAATGTTCTGAAAAGTGATCATGCTAAGACAGCAACTATTAATGCCAGCTCAAACTCTGCTCCACAAGAGGTGAACCCAGCTTTACTACTGAAAGAACTTTAAGGATGTCACATATCGGGCACAACTTCTCAAAACCTTTCAGCTGGTTTAAAACATAGCATTTTAACTACTTAAAAGAGATTACTAAATATGGTAGTCATGAGGCATAATTGTGTTTTTAGAACACATTTTACATGAATAAGAACAAGTTTGCCAGCTGATGCTGCTATATTTTTGTTATTTAATGGAGTCTGCATATTCTCTTGGTTAAATGTATACGTGTGGGTATTTAACTTACTGATTGAACCTGCACTCTCAGCAGTGTGAAACTACCAAGCCAAAAGTTACTAAATATATAAGATTTTTCGGAAAAAACAAATGCTAACCTAATTACAAGACATACGGCGGCTAATACTTTCTGAAATGCTCTCCATAAAATAACATGAATTGAGAAGTATGTGTTTTTTTATGTGTTAATGGCTTGACAAGTCATAAAAAGAGAAATTGCACTTTTTGAAATAACCACTGATAGGCCAGATTTCAAAAGTCATCCATTTAGATATCTCCTTGTTTTACAAGTGCTCACAATGTGAGTTACCTTTGATTCTTTGACTTCTGGTCTGACTTCACTTGAACATTGTAGTTGCATACTTTTGAATAAACAAAGGAAGGGTTCTCACAAGGTAAATTCCCAGGTGTTGCAGAACTATTTATGCCATGATGCTTTGTCAGCCTTTAGGATTAAAAATTAAGCTTTAAAAAAGGTATCTACATTTTGGGCATCCCTGACAAAGCATTATACATTGTACATTATATATACATACCTTCATTCATACATAGATATATACATTTGTGCACACACTCACAACACTCGAACATAATCAGTGTCACTTTACTATTTTGTGTTCAGCAAATATTTATACTCTGTTTATGTAACATATATCTAGGTTCGTAATGTCCATGTTAATGAGTATTTCCAATGCAACTACTAGTTCAATATACATTTAAAGAGGCACTACCACTTCCCAGGATTTTTAAGTATTATGTTTACTGTTGTGTTATATTTAATATTTGTGAACTGTAGCACAACTTAAAGATAACATTCAATACCTCTTTATCTTGGACTAGACTTTTCCATCTTGGTTTCCTGTCAACCATAATTATAAGGTTATTCCACCTGGCAGTTAGCATAAAAATCAAGATCTGTTTCATCTCATCAACGTGTGCCTTGGCCGTGCCAGGGATTGTGTTATTTGCTAATTGTGTATTTGCTTATTATTTAATATTAATTTAAAAGAAAATGGAGCCTCACATGAAAAGGTTAACACATGTTATTGGCAAGAGAAGTGATGGCTCCCTTTTTTAATCACCTAAAATCAACATTTTTAGCTAGAGAATATTTAGCATAGAAATGCCTGCATAATTAGTCATTCGACAGACTATTTAGTTTAGGTTTGCCTGAACAGTGCTGCTAAAGCTGATATACTTAGTAATGCTAGGTACAGATAATATTTATTGCATATTTAAGTGGTTGGTTAATATGTATGTATGGATTTTTGGATTAAAAATAAGTGTACGACTGACAGCCTATAATGTCCTATACCATTCATTCCAGATTAAAAAGAAGATAAATGTTCCTTAATACAAATCCAAGGGGGCTGGCTTGATGATCGCTATTTATTAATATTGACTTGTTGTTCTGCCCTCATTGTGCAACTATACTGAAATCATATCATACAGAGCAGGACTCAATGAAAATAATGTAGTATTTTTATTAAGAAAATACATGTTTCTATACTGTTTTATATTTTTTATCATTTTGAAAGAGTTCTTTTTTATTGTTTTTACAAAATTGTTAAATTGAAACAGAATATTTATTAATTTATACAATATATTTATTTTTTCTAAATTATTTCATGAATTTTAAAAAATAAATTATTAAATATATTTCTTTGCCTTGCTTTTTATTTGTTTTTGTAAAATGTCAATAATATGGAATAAAAAAAAAAGGTATTGTGAAATGCGTTCAAATCAACTTACACTAGCTTAGTCAATCGAGCACCGTTAAACCTTGATCACTTAACTTGTTGACACAACATACCTGCTTAGATATGCCTGTTATATGCTGAGAGCAATTTGTGTGACTTAAACATGCTTAATTTCTTCTCATAATTAACTTTAAAAAATGTGCACATACTCTTGAACACCCCAATGTTAAAAGTGTTGAAACTCAGCGTGGGGAATGCCGTTGGGGTGCCACACGCATGCTGTTATATTTCTCTGCACTGCAAAAAATAAAAGGTATTAGCAAGTATTTAGAAAACATTTCATTACGTAAATTAGCACATATATTTGACAAGACAATAAAGTGACCATAGGAAACTTCTGCCTATAGGCTACATTAACTAAAAATGTGAGCACGCAAATCACTATTTAATGAATAAAAGACATTAATACATTCTAGGTTATATAAAATGCAGCAGGTACTAAAAGAGGGTAAAGTTAGAGTTACCCACTACATATTGAGATGCAGAAAATCGCATTGAGCTTTAGTCAAAAGTGGAATTAGATAAATACAAAAAAACAGCAGAAGCGTGAGAAAATGTTAGCTGACTCCCAAAAAAAGCATCTGTTAAATCTGGCTATAATTAATTTTAACCAGATCCACACGAATGGTTTCCTCTCCCCAAACATCTAGTTTACTAGGGCTCTTTAACCAAAGGGATTTACACACAGAAGCACATGCAGACTTACACACACAAACCCATGCAGCAGGTCAAAATGTACACATGTTCAACCATCCTCCTGTTTCCTACCTTTTGGTTGCAGGAAGGTGGCTTCTGCTTGCTGAGGCTGTTGGGAGTTAGGGACTGGATCTCTCCCAATCCACACCCTCTTCTTCTTTGCTTTTTCATCCCTCCTGCTCACCTCGGTGTTAGCTGGGAGAAAGTGACTGGCTTTCACTTCCTCCTGGCGCTGCCATTACATTATTACAGGGGCCATATGCCCTTTTAAAGGGCAGCAGTGCGCGACTGGGCCCTTGAAGACACATGCCCATTGGGTGGCCCTAAGTGCATGGGTCATACGATGGGCTCCCTCAGCGTGCCCCCCCCAATTAGTGGCACCCAGGGCAGACAACCCATTCCCCCTTTAGCATGCCATCGGCAAAAGTGCCATCATTTAAAATTTGTGGTATTGTGATACAAAGAAGGCATTATTAAGTGAAATTCAATTGCCAAATCTTGGCAAGTGTCCTCATCTACCTTCTTGCATGTAACATTTATTTGCAATACTTCTTCCATTAGGCCGGGCGGACACAATCCTCCATATCCTGCAGATGCTAAAGCAATTAAGGAAGCATTTTGCAGAGTTTTTAATTCACTATTTGCAGCAGTTCTTAAGTTAGGCCAGTTGAGTACAATCTCCTGCAGTGATGGGTGTGTGTGCATGTTGGACGCTGTATATGTAATTAAAATAGGAGAAATAAAAATTGCAGAAATTTATTGGGGGAATCCACAATCATTGGCTTAAAGCCAATTTCCACCATACATTTAGATATGATCCAAGAAGTGCACACTTGCCTGACTGAATGGCTGTACCACTTTAATCGAACTTTTGATGCATTCACTTTAATCACTTTTATTTTGTGGAGATTTTGAGTAGCACTATCTAAAGGATTTTTTTTTGTGTTCAATAAATATTAATCCAGTGTTATATTTGCTCTCATTTATTCCCTAAAGTTTTTTTTTTTTCCTAAAAGTTGCCATTTCCTTGTTGTTTCTCTGCAGCTCAGTAATTAAACCCCAATGTGGACTTACTAAAAATGGCATTGTACCATAATGACTGTAGCAAAAAGACTACTACAAAGGCAAGTCAAACACACCCAACCAATTGATCAGCATACTTTGTATTTTTTACTATTGTTTTGCATGCCTTAATTCTGCTGCATTTGTGAAGAAGGAATTATATTCCAATTAGTTGTAGAATAGTCCAGTGTTTGACAAGTGCTGATGTTACAGTATATGTGTGTACCATGTTCATTAATCTGTACTTCCTCAAAATGTTTAGATTGTCTTGCAAAACAGACCGAATACATCCTGGATGTTGCATTACCACACACATTTCTACAAATGCAAACACTCATTATAATATTGAGAAACCTTTTGCCTTTTAATCAGAATATTTTTAAACAATCTAATCAATTTTAAAGGGACACTACATGCACCAAAACAACTTTATGGCTTAATGAAGTGTTTTTGATATAAAGACCATGCCCTTGCAGTCACACTGTTCAATTCTATGCTATTAGTTAAATCACTTTGGTTAAACAGCCCTAGTCACATCTCCCTGCATTTGACTTACTCAGTCTCCATACATATTTCATGTAAAGAAACATCTAATGTTTACACTTACTTTATTGCATAGTCTGATTAATTTAGAATATCTTACCTCCTATTCTGATATTAGCCTGCTAGAGAGTGCAGGTGGCTCCTGCATGTGATTAAAGTTCAATTAGCAGAGAAGAAGCTAAAAACTTCTAAAGTGAACAAACTGTACTGTCAGGTCTTTTCAAAATTAAAGGGAGACTATAGTCACCAGAACAACTACAGCTTATTGAATTTGTTCTGGTGAATAGAATCATTACCTTTAGGCTTTTTGCTGAAAACACTGTCTTTTCAGAGAAAATGCAGTGTTTACATTACAGCCTAGTGATAACTCCACCGGCCACTGTTCAGATAGCTGTTAGAGATCCTTCCTGGGTCATGGCTGCCTAAAATGCATCCAAACATTCAGGGTCTCCTCCCTCTGCATGCAGACACTGAACTGGCCCCTTATAGAGATTCATTGATTCAATTAATCTCTATGAGGAGATGCTGATTGGCCAGGGCTGTGTTTGAATCATGCTGGCTCTGCCCCTGATCTGCCTCTTTGTCAGTCTCAGCCAATCCTATGGGAAAGCATGGTGATTGAATCAGGCTACCACTTCTGATGATATCAGCAGACTGCTTGTTTTTCTGAGGCAAACAGCATGCAGAGTTACAGCTTCAGGCTTGCATACAGTAAGACTGGGTCAGGAATACATGTTTGTGTTCCTGACCCTATAGTGATCCTTTAAACAATTTTTTTTCATGGAAGCTGTGTGGGTCAGAGCCAAATGAGATGTGGCTAGGGCTTTTATAAACAGAAATAAAAGTGATTTAACCCCTTAAAGAACACATGACATGTGTGACATGTCATGATTCCCTTTTATTTCAGAAGTTTGGTCCTTAAGGTGTTAAAGCCTAAATGGCAGAGAAATGAGCAGGGAGACTGCAGGTTCATGAACTATACACCAAAACTGTTTCATTAAGCTAAAACTGTTTTGGTGCTTAAAATATACCTATAAACTATACATACATTAAAAAAAACCCTCAACATTCTTTGTTACCTGTCTATACAAATCATTTTGGGATGTATTATAGAGCCTCACTCACACTATTTGCTTCATATATGAAGTATACTTCATATCTACAATTTGGGCACCCCTGACATACACCCAAAACGGAATGTTTTCATATTTTAATGTTTTGAAAAAAATCATATTATAAGAGTTTCCAAAAATACTAAATTATTTTAAAAGCTTATGCAACAATATTAAATCGGGACCTAAATTAGTATTCTTACAGGGTATTAATCCTAAAGTAAGAATTACCAGGCATTGCAATTGAATTTCACTTAATAATGCCTTTTTTTGTATCACAATACAGCAAATTTTTAAATGAGGGCACCCTTGCCAGTGGCATACTAACAGGAGAATGGGTTGTCTGTCCTGGGTGCCACTAATTGGGGTGGTGGGGGGGAAGGGGTGCACGTTGAGGGAGGGGGCCCAGTCGTGCACTGCTGCCCTTAAACAGGGCAAATGGGCCCCTGTAATAATGTAATGGCAGGGCCAGGAGGAAGTGAAAGACAGTCACTTTCTCCCAGCTAACACCGAGCTGAGCAGAAGGGAGGAAAAGGCAAAGAGGAGGAGGGTGCTGATTGGGAGAAATCCAGCACCTAACTCCAAACAGCCTCAGCAAGCAGAAGCCACCTTCCTGCAACCAAAAGGTAGGAAACAGGAGAATGGCTGAAAATGTGTACATTTTGACCTGCTGCATGTGTTTCTGTGTGTGACTATGTGTCTATGTATCTGCTTGTGTGTACCTGTGTTTCTCTGTATCTTTATGTGGGTATCTGTGTGTCTGTATCTGTGTGTGACTCTGTATCTGTCTGTCAGTCTGTGTATATGTGTGCCTGTATGAGTATCAGTCTGTGTAGCTGTAGATTTGTGTATCTGCATGTGTGTTTATGTATTTGCATGTGTGTCCATGTGTTTAACTGTGTATCTGCTTGTTTGTCTGTCTGTCTGTCTGTCTGTCAGTGTATATCTGTGTGTATGTATCTGCATGCGTGTCAGTGTGTGTATATATGTGTGTATGTTTATATGTGCATACATGTCAGCATCTCACCAACACTACACACAAATACACCACTGCATGCAAACACACCATTGCATTTAAACATCAACACTACACACACACACACCTCTGTCTTATATATAAACATTCATAACCCACACTACATAGAAAAACACCCCTATACATGAGATAAATAAAAACAAATTTGCAGGAGTTATTTCCATTATAAAGTTGGGATGGGGGAGGAGTTGGCTGTGAAATATAGAATCTGTCCCAGATGCCAAATGCTGTAGATATGCCCCTGGCTCCCGCACTGCCTTTTAAAAAAAAAAATATATATATCCTATTTTCCAAATTGTGACTACTTCAGACAGAGAGCCGTAAGCCAAGTGGTGCAGGTCTTAGCACAGAGTTTATCTCAGTAGACCTGACATAATCTTCTGGAGTGGAGATGGGCAGCAGAGTCCAGCGGACTCCAGGTAAGAAGCCAAGCCTTCTTACAATGTGAAACTACTACAGGTGCAGATGGAGGTTCATCGGGTTGCCCATGCGCTGCGGCTCTTTAACAGTGCAACCAGGCCCCTTTCATGAGGGAAGTGAGTCTGTCACTTCCTCCCAGCTACAGAAAGTGAGCTGTGCAGGAGGGGAAGGCAGAGAGTAATTTGTGTGAACTAGGAGAGCCAGCTCTTGACTCCCAACAGCTTCAGGCCAGCAGATCCAACTGGACCCCATGGAAGCCACCCCCCTGCACCCAAAAAGTAGGAAACTGGAGGATGGCTAAAATTTTGTAAACTTTGAACAGCATGTGTTTCTATATGTGTCAGTGTTTTCGTATATGTGTCTGTGTGTCAGTGTTTGTATCTATGTGTGTCACAGAGTTATTAACCTAACTTACAGGAAATATGGAATCCACTAATAGAGGTTCTAATACAGTCACATTATCAGGGCTTAGAAGACAGAGACAAAGTCAGTAATTGCCAAGAAATACTCAAAGTCAATAAACTAGCCGGGTGAGGATACGAGAAATTCTCAATGTTTTATATGGCTGGACTAAAACTAGAGGGTCACTGCACCCAGACCGTTTAATTGAGATGGAGTTGCTTAAGTGGCTTCAGCTGTCCTTTAAGATATATGAGCAACTAGAATTTATAATACATTGCAACTAATTTAGGTAAATGACACTTAAGGGAAGATTACAGTATTGAAGACACTAGGTTATTAGTGTATGACCTCTGGCTGCCAATTTGTTGACAAAAGGACACATTCCATAGATGCTTATCATTCAAAATGACAGATTGAACTACAAAATGACAAAGTAATGTGGGTTTTAATCTACTTCTGTTATCGTAGATTTATAATGATGAACAATTATCTAAATTTTTAAGCAAAATAAAAAAATAAAACACTTTTCTATCTTGCAAACCTGTCATTACTGTCCAAAATTACAAGACCATAAAAAATAGAAAAGAAACAAAACAAAAATAAATAAATGATCTTTACCCTGAGAGTCTTAGATGCACCCACACCTATTATATATCATTTTGTTTAGGAGAAACAGGGCTTTCATTACACATCAAATATTTACATATGAAACATAATTTAATATGAATAAAATCTAAAAAAAAGTTTGAGAAATTAAGAAATTCTGTCATTTTTCAAGTTCTGTGTGGCATGTTAACAGTGAATGTCATAATGCTCTTAGCTTTTACTGCAACAAAACACCCATATTTGAATGCTGTGATGGAAAGACAGAATGAGTGGAACCAATTATGTTGTATTTTCAAAGTATAAAGAAAATGCACAACATGAATAGGTGAAATTTTCACTCACATATATTGGAGCTAGTAACCAGCTCTAGGCATAGCTTGCAGTGGTAAAATCCCCACTTAAGAATATATCTCATCCAGAGGTAAGGTGCTCGGTGTTCAAATGTTGATGCATAGTGATATATAAAGGACACTGATTTCTATAGGCAAACACTTTTTAAATGTGAAAAAGGTAAGGCATAAGAAAAGTTAGACAGGCAATAGTAGTGCATTATCTGTCATAGTTTTTATTAATTATTATATCTATATGACAAATGTCCAGGCAAATAACTGGATGATCCAAAGCAAACTTTATTAAGACACAGGGCTTGGCACTGTTTCGACTCACTAGGAGTTTTTCGCATATACATTTATGCATTGGGAAGTTGCCTCCCTTGTCTGAGAGGCACCAAAGGAATGGGATACATTATTGAGAGGTGTGTACTGCCCCTCTTCTGTGCATATTCATTAATTACGGTTCCAGAAAGAGAACAGAATAAAAGACATGCATGGCGAAAAAATATGGTACGTCCAAATCGTCATCTAAATTGTCATGTGACTATTAAAATTAAAGATGACACAAAAGGAGTACTCCAAGTATGAAAGAACTTTCAAGGTGGGAAAAG